TCACGCAGAAGCGCTGCGGAGCAGCGCTGCCCTGAGCACGCGAAGCGTGCGAACAGTGTAGCTAGCGGCCGCAGAAGCACTGAGCACGCGAAGCGTGCGAATCGTGTAGCTAGCGGAAGATCCATGAACAAATTTGATTTCAAACGGAAGACACGTGCGATGAGGCCACAAGGCCAGATCCCCACGAACAGCCTATGGCCACTACGAGAGCAGGTGAGCTAGCGGCCGCAGAAGCACTGAGCACGCGAAGCGTGCGAATCATGTAGCTAGCGGAAGCAGCCACAGAAGCACTGAGCACGCGAAGCGTGCGAATCGTGTAGCCACCACCACGTGCTGAGCACGTGTGCTGTTCATGTACTTGCTTCACCCGCATGCCACGTTCGGCCAGGCAACGCTGGCCGCGGGTGCTGCTAGTATGTCATAAAACGTTCCAGCTGTTCGATTAGTGTTGACCCTGAAAATGATCCAAGAAATTTACAACATCAGCCTAGGTTAGATTTTGATCCGATACCATTACCAGATGTGCTTGGTACGATCAATCTACCAAAATCACCTTCAACCTTTGATGTAACTGGTATAGTCTGATGGAGAGAAAGAAAACGGTTTATGATCGAGTAAAAAATGATGAAACTGAAAATGATATCTGTTCTCTTAGAAATTGTCATGTTGTGTAGTGTTTCACATTCCTCTCCAATTCCTGGGAATATATGTTGGGTAAAGGGAGATCATATAGCCTGTGTTCCTTCTCAACCACTTTTCCTCCTGATAATGTACCAGCAGCATCGGTAGCACCGCTAACAACGGGAAAGCCAACAACAAGGTTAATACGAACAACGGTAACACTGACAACACCGACAACACCGACAACATCGGGAACTACGCCAACAAAATCGGGAACATCGGGAACATCGGGATTTACACCGACAACACCGACAACATCGGGAATTACATCGGGAACATCGGGAATTACATCGGGAACATCGGGAATTACATCGGGAACATCGGGAATTACATCGGGATTATCGGGAATTACATCGGGAACATCCGGAATTACATCGGGAACATCAAACAACTTGATATACCTCCTTTTCCTTCTTCTTCTCATCCCCATTACTGCTGGTGTATTTCACAGACAAATAAAAAAATATATCACAGAAGGAAAGATGAAGACCTTCACACTTTCGAAACCACCCACATCATGTAAAAATGATCAGGTGAAAAATACGCCTTACATTCCCACAAAAGAAACCCTTGCTGAGGTGAAATCAGCACTCGACTCAGGATGAAAACCCCCTATTACAAAAAAGCTGATGAAAAACAAGAAAAAATATATGTGGAAATGATCCATCCCTTATTATTATTATTGTTGTGAACCCTGTAAGATTCTCTAAATTGTCAGGATCGTACGACCACACGGCACGAGGACAACTCTTTTCCTTTGCACAGTATATTTCACTTCACCGAATAATTAACAATGAACACGAATAACACCAGCTATTTATAGCATGCAAAAAACAGCGTACATGCAAAACATACGCATACATAGAAAGTCGTTTGCTTGTCGCGCAAGCCAGTTGGTCGCTGTATCCGTGCATGGAAAAACGGTCGTTATAGGCAGGTGGTCACTAAAACCAGAGGTCGCTTATACCAGGTTTTACTATACTCATATTAATGAGCAACCAAAAGAGTGGGCCTCGGAAAGAAAGCTATTGTCATAATGTGATGTAGTGATTCAAAGATGATTGGGAAATGATTCGACTTTCCGCTCCAGCGGTGGTTCCCCTTTTGGAAGTGTCCATGGTACTTTCCGCTCCTTAATGAGTAAGTAATATACATGTACGTGAGATGAGAGCTAGTATTGTAAGTTCAAAAGAAATATAGCCACAAGACAGTAATTGAGATAATAAGCCAATGACAGGATTTGTAAACAGGGCATGAACGTTCAGTTGATCATCAGGTTGCAAACATGCTGGCAATTCAGAGTGGGAGAGTGCTAGAGTGACTGACAGGAGGCCAAGAACCGACGGTAGGTTAATGGAAAACCCTACACACACCATCCTCAAAGCAAGTGGTCTCTTCGCTGGACATTCCTATTTTCTCGATCGTATTTTTACTGACAGGTTGCATCATCAGGATTAGCCATTAGACATCAGCTATCACAGTGATGTATTCTAGCCGAGAGGTGGATAGAGATGATAATGCAGCGAAGAGACCACTTGCTTTGAGGATGGAGTTTGCAGGGTTTCCCATGTCTCTTTGTTCTACACCAGGCGACTCATGCAGGTTCGTACTATCGTTGTGACATCATCGCGCTCAAGTGCTGAGTACACCGCTAGGTCCCCATTGAGTGATTTTGCGTGGCTAGTACCTAGTGTAACATTAGTAGTAGTCAAGTTCGAGTAGTGGTGTGGTTGAAAAGGTCCAAGTCCTCAGCTGATGACGTGTCACTACAACTCTTGTAGTTGATTCGCTACCATCGTACATGGATGTCCGTCCTTACAGGAGTCCGTCGAAGAGTCTTGCCGCAGTTGCTACGTGTAATTACTAGCTTACAAGAGCTCAAACAGCAGCGCTTTTATTTCGAATTGCAATATACTCCCCTTTCTAGATTTACAGTTGTTGTTGCGGGCCAGCAGCAGTTATTGTCGTAACTGATAGTCTCAATCTCTCCGGATGCTGAAATACAAGGCGGCAGAAGCTCACCCAGACGGATCGAAGACTGACTGCCACAGACAGTAAGGAGACCTCACATCTGTTTACATTTTTTGTTGCGTTCCTACATTGTTCGTAATCATTTTCTACTCCGAAACAATGGTTCGTCGAGTTGCTGGTGAATGAAGCACCAGTTAAATGTTTCGTCGACCAGCGCTAACACTATCAGCTTGGCTCGTCAAAAACATGTAGTTGTGGGGAAAGAAAATCGGATGTGCAGTTTATGTGTTGTCTGTACATAAGCAAACTCTTTTCTTTTTGGCAAAATTTAATGACACAAACTCTGCTCAAGACAATCACCAAGAAACGTGAAGACATTTTAAAAAGGATGGAGAAGATACGACTGGAACACAGAAGTTGAGGGAACCGTATGTGCAAGTGTCTTCAATGGAGTTTGCGAGTATTACGAATTGAGGTTTGACGGACCAAACAATTAGCGAGTCGCTTTTGAATCTTTACTATCCACTTGATTGTATTTCAACCTGAGCTTAGAGGAGAAGATCGGCCTAAGTGTAAATGCTAAGCGACACTAGCTGCTGGTTGGGACCTTATAGCCTTTGTATATGTTTGAATCAAGGAGATTGAGGCTAGTTTCGAATGCCCAGTCTTCCTGACATATCCGAAGGTGCGATCTTCTTTTCTGGCAGTAAAAAGGACACTTTACCCTGTTGCAGTCAACCTGGCCAGCCAAGAGAGCGCATTTGGCTAATTTTGGTCCCCGTGTGCAGGTCCAATATGGCACTTGGTACATAGAAAGTCGTTCGCTTGTCGCGCAAGCCAGTCGGTCGCTGTATCCGTGCATGGAAACACGGTCATTATAAGCAGGTGGTCACTTAAACCAGAGGTCGCTTACACCAGATTTTACTATACTCATATTAATGAGCAACCAAAAGAGTGGGCCACGGAAAGAAAGCTATCAATGTCATAATGTTATGTAGTGATTCAAAGATGATTGGGAAATGATTTGACTTTCCGCTCGAGCAGTGGTTCCGCTTTTCGAAGTTGCCATGGTACTTTCCGGTCCTTAATAAGTAGTGTGCGTGAGATGAGCTAGTATTGTAAGTTCAAAAGAAATATGGCCACACGACAGTAATTGAGATAATAAGCCAATGACAGGATGTGTAAACAGGGCATGAACGTTCAGTTGATCATCACGTTGCAAACATGCTGGCAATTTAGAGTGGGAGAGTGCTAGAGTGACTGACAGGAGACCAAGAACCGATCGTAGTTTAATGGAAAACCCTACACACATCATCCTCAAAGCAAGTGGTCTCTTCGCTGCAAGTTCCTATTTTCTCGATCCCATTTTCAGCCAGGTTGTATCATCAGGATTAGCAATTAAACATCAGCTATCACAGTGATGTATCCTAGCCGAAAGGTGGATAGAGATGATACTTATTTGCAGCGAAGAGTACACTTGCTTTGAGGATGGAGTTTGCAGGGTTTCCCATGTCTCTTTGTTCTACACCAGGCAACTCATGCAGATTCGTACTATCGTTGTGACATCATCGAGCTCAAGTGCTGTGTACACCGCAAGGTCCCCATTGAGTGATTTTGCGTGGCTAGTACTAGTAACAGCAAGAGTACTTAAAAACCAGTGTGCAACTGTGCATATCAGATCTGAAACAGCACAGTTCGTGCACTACGTCACCCTGATGAGGTCAGCCAAGCCGCGACTAGCGCACAGGTCAAATTTTCATGTTTCACAGTCCGGAAATCAGACAAGTTTGCATGGTTTGGACGTCCTGTTTTAGGATTACGGTGTTTTTGTGTGACTGCGTACGCTGTGTACATGCACCGGCATGTAAATTCACCCTGCTACTCGTGTCAAAAAACCGAAATCAGGGCAAACTCAGTGACGTGCACCACCGTGACTGGTTACGCAACTATTCACCGTACCTGTGCCTTACCATGCCGTCAGAAATAACGTACTGCACGAATTACGCTCCCACAGGAACCATCCCGAGTTGCACACTCTGGTTTATGTACTCTTGGTAACAGTAGTAGTAGTACTAGTAGTAGTAGTCACGTTCGAGTAGTGGTGTGATTGAAAAGGTCCAAGTCCTTAGCTGATGTGTCACTACGAGTCTTGTAGTTGATTCGCTACCATCGTACATGGATGTCCGTCCTTGCAGGAGTCCGTCGAAGAGTCTTGCCGCAGTTGCTACGTGTATTTTCTAGCTTACAAGAGCTCAAACAGACGAGCTTTCCTTTCCAATTGCAATAATATTATACTCCCCCCTTTCTAGATTTACAGTTGTTGTTGCGGGCCAGCAGCAGTTATTGTCGTAACTGATAGTCGCGATCACTCCGGACACTGAAGTACAAGGCGGCAGAAGCTCACCCAGACGGATCGAAGACTGACTGCCACGGACAGTAAGGAGACCTTACATCTGTTTACATTTTTTGTTGCGTGCCCACATTGTTCGTAATCATTTTCTGCTCCGAAACAATGGTTCGTCGAGTTGCTGGTGAATGAAGCACCAGTTAAATGTTTCGTCGACCAGCGCTAACACTATCAGCTTGGCTCGTCAAAAACATGTAGTCGTGGGGAAAGAAAATCGGATGTGCAGTTTATGTGTTGTCTGTACATAAGCAAACTCTTTTCTTTTTGCCAAAATTTAATGACACAAACTCGGCTCAAGACAATCACCAAGAAACGTGAAGACATTTTAAAAAGGATGGAGAAGATACGACTGGAACACAGAAGTTGAGGGAACCGTATGTGCAAGTGTCTTCAATGGAGTTTGCGAGTATTACGAATTGAGGTTTGACGGACCAAACAATTAGCGAGTCGCTTTTGAATCTTTGCTATCCACTTGATTGTATTTCAACCTGAGCTTAGAGGAGATGATCGGCCTAAGTGTAAATGCTAAGCGACACTAGCTGCTGGTTGGGACCTTATAGCCTTTGTATATGTTTGAATCAAGGAGATTGAGGCTAGTTTCGAATGCCCAGTCTTCCTGACATATCCGAAGGTGCGATCTTCTTTTCTGCCAGTAAAAGAGGGCACTTAACCCTGTTGCAGTCAACCTGGCCAGCCAAGAGGGCCTAGGCCCAATAATTTTGGTTAATTTTGGTGCCGTGTGCAGATCCAATATGGCACTTGGTACATAGAAAGTCGTTCGCTTGTCGCGCAAGCCAGTTGGTCGCTGTATCCATGCATGGAAACACGGTCGCTATAAGCAGGTGGTCACTAAAACCAGAGGTCGCCTATACCAGATTTTACTATACTCATATTAATGAGCAACCAAAAGAGTGGGCCACGGAAAGAAAGCTATTGTCATAATGTGATGTAGTAGTTCAAAGATGACTGGGGAATGCTTACAACGCTCATGTAGGAGGACTCAATGTAGAGATTTATCGATGCATTGGGGGCTCCTAGTGTACTAGTTTTTGGTCGATTTCACAGAAAGCTTTTGAGTTTTGAAGTTATAAGAAATTTAGTGTAGATTGGTCACTTCTTGGACGACAACTATACCCAAATGGTTTTATTCCACTTATACTTTTACTAAGTTTCTGCGAAAGAAAGAAATTATCTCAGATATATTCATGTACAAGTCTCTCTCCCTCTCTCTCCATTTTCACCCATCCTTTGTAGGTAGGTTCCCTTTCGGGTGGCAGGGGGGGGGGGACGCTTTTGAAGGAAACCTCAAACAATAATACATCTCAAAAATTGCCAAAGAATCATAGTATGAGTTTCAGGTCTAAATACAAGCCACAGAACAGTGTGCATAAACAAGCTACAAACCACACACAACAAAGCAAAAAAATGGCTCAAACTTCGAAACTCACCCTGCTGTTTACCCTCCAGACAGCTGGAACTATGAATTGAATGCAGAAAACAATCATCAGAAACCAAAGTTCCGTTTAACTGTCGACTTAAAGCGTTCATCAGTATGTAGAATAATATTAATCGCTTTGCTAAGATTGTGTGTGCATTAAACCCTTTGTCAAAATTGTTGGCGTGAAGAGTTTTTCGAAATTAATCAGTCATTCGAAATGTACATAAAACAGCCAATTACGGTGTTGTTTGCCTTGCTCTAGGTTGGTCAACTGGCGGATTGGGCTATAGCTAATGCGATCAAAGGCCTCAAATTTGCAAGATGAAGATCAGGTGAGTCAGGGTAACTCTACTCTTGTGATTGGATGCCTTCCAAGACTCAGAATATGCATGACAAACATGAATGCAGTGTTATCAATTGTCATATGTTTCAGGGAACAGTTCAAACTGAAAACATTTCAGAAGAAACATTGATTGTCACCACCAGCACTCAAACCAGGGTTGTTGTTAGTTCTGTATTTCAACTGCATGTTTGTGCAGTAGTGTACCCAGATTACTCAGGCGTGAAGAGGGAGTGCTCTCAAATCTGCTCTAACGAAAACTTCATAATGCGGCACAAATCGAGTTCGTGTAGTTTATGTCTGGTAACATCCACTGATCACGTGGTAACATCCTCTGATCACGTGGTAACATCCACTGATCACGTGGTAACATCCACTGATCACATTCTAACATCCACTGATCACGTGGAGACATCCACTGATCACACTGCAATGTTTGCCGGTTTGCTTGCGTGCATTTGCACCGCTGCTTGAGTTCTTTGCGACACTGCACACCCATGGCCAGCTTATAGCTTTGCAAACGACAAGCTTGACGTCAAACGTATCTTCCACGACAGTCACGGGTAGCCAAAAATGGTGTCGTTCCTGGATGTCCACGACTTTTTGGTTTCTTTTCGTTTCTTTCTGTTGGCTTCACAGCCAAGTCAAATGTTTTGTTTGCTCCAAGCTCGTCTTAGCATCAATTTTCACTATCCATCCCTTTTATAGTACATGTGTCATCTTTTATGATCCTGTGGGACGTGTCACGCAGCTTGATACGTGAAAAGTGGATTGTGAGCAACACTGGCTGACACTCAATGACGGCTTTTAACAAATATATTTCAGGAAACGTATTTCAACGTGTCGGTCATAAAAAATAGCCATCATCAGGAGTGAACTTGGTATGCTGGCTACTTGGGTTTAAAAATGAGCAGAGTTGCGAGCAGATAAGAATTCACCCACGCATGTACTATGACGAGGGAGAAACGAAGTTAACAAAACACAAAACATCCCAAAAAAATGTTCGGAAATAGCACGATACCCAACAACTCTAAGGGGGCGTTCAAAATGTCTTCATCAACTGTTCGAACAAATTTTAAAAGAGATTAGTTGAAGTGTCCCATTAGAACGGTTTCTATCATTTGCGCCTATCATTTTAGAGTTTTTCAGGAGAATTGTCAAGGCGATGATGACGTCCGATCAGATCAACCATCTCCACGTACTACGTGACGTAGCTAATCCAAACTCTTCGGAACTAATCCACCTCTCCCATCGGATGAGGTTGTGGAGTTTCGAGGAGTTTCGAGGAACTTCGTTTTTCTGAAGAGGCCAATAATAAGGCCACCTCTTCAGAAAATCGAAACTTCTCGAAAATTCAAAGGTGACAATTCGAACGCGCCCTTAATATGCCACAGGCGCCAAAACAGACAAGTACATGTAACTTACAACCTTCCTGAAAAAGATTTTTGAAAACCAGTGATTGAGTGTCAGCCAGTGTTGCTCACAAGTCAAAACCCACTTATGTATCCTCTTACTAATGGTACTCGGGCAATTAATTGCTGTCTTTGCATTGCTTTGCACCCCTATTGTGGGTGTACAGTGTAGAGTGGTTGCACATCTTGCCAAAGCGGCGCAGACCCCCGAGTCGCATGACGCAGGGTAAAATCTTTATTTCAGGATTACCCAAAGGCGGTAGGCGGCCATGTTGGAGGAAATGCAAGCTGAGGCATCTTAGCAAGTACATCAAAGAAGAGTGAAGCGGGTGGGCTTTTTGGCATTATTTCTTGCTCTTGTTTCAGAGAAGTCGACCCGGATTGTTTGTAGTTGAAACCTGCGAATATGATCAGTGTGGAACGGTCAAATCAGACTGCTTCTACTGTTGCGGCAAGGGCGCCTAATGAAGTACAAGTGCGGAGTCGCGATCGCAGGTCGTCAAAATCTTACCCTACGCTGACAAGCTGGATCAAGTACATGTAGTTGCAACGCAAAGATATCTGGACAGAATTTCGGCCCTAAGCTTGGCGCACTGCGTGGATGCAAAGCGGTTGCTCCTCTTGTGGGAGAAGTCGTCTTTGTGTCATACTTAGTGATAGCTACTGGCTTCTCTACCAAGAAGGACTTCAAACCTATAAATAAAAGAAGCCTCGCATACCATAATGGACTTCTCGTGTTCTCTGGATGGCAGTCGTGAGTCAGTCAAGTGTCAAGCCGTCGGCGGAATAGCGCGAGCTCCAGTGTAGGAGGAAACCCATTCCTAAAACAAATCATCGCCAAAGTCGCAACCTCTATTTTGTACCCGCATAGTATAACCATTTTTTTGTCTGGCGGGGTGAATGAGGTGAAGTCGTTCCAGCAGAATGGGAAACATGTCAAATTGATGTCACCAGGGCTAGGGTGAGCGATACTAGCCATGGTGACAAATCATATTGCCGTGCTACCAAAAATATTGTGCCCTAAAAGCAACGTACCCAGTCCACGTTGAACTGATCTAGCAAGCCAGCAGGCTTATCGCCCAGGAAATGACTCGGTGCACAGAACATACCCTCGCCGTATCCGAGATTATTGTCTTTCCCTTGATTGTTTTCAAGAGTGTAAAATAATGTTACTGAGATGTTTCAGTGTGACCAAAAGAAAGCATGTGCGAAACAATTATTATTATTTTTAGCTCTGACATTCAAACACGTTTTCTGATGTTCATGGCCATACCTGACTTTTCTTTTACTGACCCTATCAGGTACATTGTGACGGCAAAAACACAAAACCAAAACAAAACCGAAACAAAAACACCTCAATGCTCAACTGTCAAGGTCCAAAGTTTAGTTTTTCTATTTTATTATTGCATGTACAGAACCAGTCAGGGCTGGACGAAAGCGGAGCTGGAAGAAACCAATGCTCATCCTTACCATCGTGAGTCACGTGCTGTCCGACAACCTCAGCAGTCAGAAAGAGATGCTGAAACTGGCCATCTACGGTCAGAAGACGTCACCAATAGTAACCATCATAGTCCTGCGCATGCGGCGGACTCCATGGACGGATCTGGTAACGAGGAAGAGAATGCACCCGATGAACGTCACGAGTTAATGAATGAAAGCTCCTACAATCTCGACAGTGTCATCTACGATGTGTGGTCCGAGTCATTGCTACCTTACCTTGATGTCAGGTCAATTTTCCGCCTTTGCGGAGTTTCCCGGAAGCTACGAAACCTGTTGCTGACGGAGCAGACATTCAAGGCTATCTGTGTGGTAAGTAATGGGGAGAGGGGGGGGGGGAGGTGAGAAGAATGATGAAATGTACACTTGCAAGAAAATGGAATTATGTCACTGGCTACAGTGCTCTCTTGTTTGGCGCCCTTGGCGGTGTAACTTGGTATTTTTTATCACTGTTTCTGGAAAAGCCACTACGAAGTGTGGTGGAGAGTAGTGGCTGTATAGGAAAAAGATACGGCCACATTGTCGAGAAGCAAAGACGAGAGGAGTATCTGCCACCGTTTACCGAAAACGCGTTCACAGAACGACCGTACACAGCACGACGTTTCACGGAAAGGCATTCACAGAAGGACTTTTCACCGCCAATTCCGATTCAACGGAATTATAATTATGGAGGACTCAGTGACAGGTCGTACCCCATGACCAATCACGGTCCTCGTGACCAGTAAAACAGTCACACCCCCCCCCCCTCCCTGACCAGTCACAAATTAGTTTACCAGTTACATTGCCTCATGACCAGCCACAAATCACCATACGTGTACATGTGTAAAGGACACAGTTCGTGACTGCTCACGGAGTGCTTCGTACTGCAGGACTTGCTGTGGAAACTATAAATCCCTATGACTCTAGTATGAGGGGTCACAGGCAGAATACAGGCGTGACCACTATAATTCTACACGAACAGTTACATGCGAAATGTACAGTTGTGACCACTATTTCCCTGTGAGTAGTCACATGCAGAATGTAGGTATATCTGTATTATTCTTTCTCTTTTCATACAATTCACAAGCCAAGAAGTGATGCGCAGACCGTAGAACCGTACTCATGTTACGATACTGATCGCAAACATTATTATTCATTTAGTCCACGATGGCGTGACGGCAATAAGGACGATTGATTAGTTTCCCCAGGCCATTCAGCACCCATTTCTAAACCTTATCTAACCAAAGTTCTTTTCAAAGCAACATGCCAGTTCAAGAACATCTGTTCAGACATACAGTCATAATTATGGCTACAAGCCTCTTATACGGCCAAAGCAAATGTGCTTACATAATATTATGACACAAAATCTCAATACGAAATAATGAACAAAATGCCAAGAATCTGAAGTCATAATTATCCTTTTACATGTCTGGTGCTGCTCTCCCTAACGACCATGCACAGCAGGCTGCATTTGCACCAGCCATCACAAGAAGCTGTAGTGAGTGAATATTTCTATTAATAAGTAGAAGGCAAAATAGGTAATGGACAAATGAAGGTGGAGGATCGCCCAAAAACACTGACAAAAAGACACTAAACAGGACACAGTACTCGTATGCACGCAATACTTTTTGGATTTCACGGTTCGCGTGTGATTCGGCCGGAAACCGAGTTTTTCGCATCCATAGGAACGCCACCACCCTTCAAGGATCAAGGCACAGATGCAGCTCCTCAAGCGGTGGGAGGTGAGTAGATCAGCTCACCAGCAAGTGGTCAAAGACCGAAAATCCCATTCACTGAACCCATGTTTTCCTCGTGCCAGGCCAGAGTTCCCAATTAACTGTGGGTCGCAGCACGGCGGGAAAAAAATCTTTCCGCTTCCAAACAGGACTTGAACCAGGTACCCTCTCTTTCTCAGTCATGGTCTTAGACCATCCCACTATGCCTGCCTGCAAATATTATAATACACGCTAGATCAGCACAACGAGAAAGATCATGTACCATAATGTTACATCAACAAATTTTACCGTTAGAGTTATTTTGGGAGTAGCAATGGAGATGAGTTCGAAGCCTGTGAGTGTGAAGGAAAAAGTTTGTTGATCGCGTGAATGCCCACAGTTGAGTCGCAATGTTTTTACGTGGATCATATGACCGTTCACAGAGAAAGTGGCAGCTGTTTGTGACTGGTCATCGGGATTCAAACTGGTGTGTGGCTTAATGATTGGTCACGGAGATCGTGATCGGTCATCGAGACGTGACTGCTCACTGAGTCCTGCAAATCTTCACAGATTTTTCATTCACCAAATTCTGTGTCGTGGAATCCCGGTTCACGGACGCGTTTTGAGGCCAGCGCAGGAGCTCCAGAAGTGCTCCCGTCCTAAATCGTACTCTTTTCACAGTTTTTCATAGTATATCGATACTTGCTCCGCCTCAGGAGGAAATTCAGCTTCCAGTGCTTCGAGTGACTCAATACACTCGGCAACGTCTCCCAGCCGAACAAACGCATGATTCAAATAATGATGTATATCGATGACATCAGCGGCATGTTTTCGGTGAAACTGTTATGCGTTGAACTTGTTATTCTATAAATGATTCGAATGCGATCTAATTACATATATAGCGATGTCATCGGCGACAGGTTTTCGATGAACCTGTTTTCCGTGAACCTGATATTCGGCAAAGTGAACAGTCGCTATATCTGCACTCTGTGAACTGTCTTTCCGTGAAACGTCGCGCTGTGAATGGTCGTTCTGTGAAGGCGTATTTGATGAGCCGTGGAGAACCCAGAACACCAACTTGATCCGCAGTGTTTAAGGTTTTTTATATAAAATCAAATCAATGTTATGCAGTGTCCTTGAAAGTATGATTGCTGTGATGCTTCATTCTCTTTTTGGTGTTACATGCACAGCGTCGCTACGGAATCAGCCCATTGTTGGATTCATCCGACTTGAAGTACATTGACACCAGCAAAGCGTTGTATGTGGCCATAGCAGTTCTTAGATTAGATCCGATTATGTGTGAACAAATGAACAATCATCTTCCTTCTAACAAATTGGATACTATGCAGTATGGACCTAGTTGCCCCATCCCGTTTCTGCCCTTTCTGTCTTCCAAAATGGGAACGTTCAAATTGGAGAGGTGCTTCCCTGGGAAAATGATTACTGATCTCTACATGGAAGATGTTCGGTTAGTTATAAAAGCTGCAACTAAACACTTGCCCAAGCTGCAGAAAGATGATATTTCGCGAACACGTCACCAGCAGATTCCTCATGTATCAGACTCAGGGTACACCAGCGAAGATCATCTCGACAGACTGAGAGACCTGTCGTTGCAACGATGTGGTTCTCCGGAAGTCTATCAGACACTTCTTATCAAAAGAATTGCACATGCCAGTTCGAAAGTGATTCCCCTCCTTCAGTATCACTATCGCGCTCAGAGACTTCTTAAAGTCGGTCGTGCATTGTCGTCGATAAATGAACAGTTCCCTGAATTACTGCAATGCCTCGGTTTGTTGTGGTCATTAGCAGATGCCCTAAGTCCTGATTTCTTTTTGACATTGCCATTGAGAGCCAGTGCGGGGCATTCCACATTGCAGCTGTACGTCATGAATCAGCTAGATATATCTTTGGAGAACTACTGCATGGTTTGCCTGAAGTACCGCAAGCTCAGAGATAAGCAGGTGATCACAACCGAACTCGGATGGACACAATTCTTCTCCGGTTTGGGCGAGTATCTCAGAAACGTGTTGAGTCTCAACCACAGCGACAACTGCGCCAGCCAAAATGATCTGTTGGATTATTTTACAAAGTATGCTGAGGAGGTTGACTTAAACAGATCTAGTGCTTAGTGCAATACCTATTATTCATATCACAGTACCAGCACTGCTGTAGCTGCACATCTCCAAGTCTATTCCGCCTGCGCCCAACTCGTACGCTATGGTTCCTCCCAATTATCCTCTTATGTTCAGGCTGCCAGTTTTGGAACCATCAGTTGCCTGATGGTGGTATTTATTCAGCTTTTATTTCTTGTGTACTTGCATACTGGTATTAGTTTAGTCCCACAACCTGCTATAAAATGATCAGCTGTAGCACCTACTCCACTTTTATGTTTATGTATCTATGTCAGTAGTATAGGACGAGGGGGTTCTGGCTCACCTTCCAGGTGAGCCAAAATCGACTTTCTCGATCGGCCCTTTGGGCCGCTCTCCAAAGTCTCCCCCTCGTCCTATACTACTGTACTAAAGGATAGACACCCAAGTACTAATATTACAACTCCAAGTACTAATTTTACACCTCCAAGTACTAATTTTACACCTCCAAGTACTAATTTTACAACTCCAACCACTGATCCCATGTTGGCTCAACCTAGTTCCAGAAAAGTGAGTCAACTTGCTGTCTCCGAGAAAATCGAAAGTGAGCCAACTTCAGCTTTTTCACTTACCCCATCTTGGCTCACTTCGAGGGCTGATGTGGGGTCGGTTTCTGAGCCAACTTCGGGTGGTTCAGCTTTGGGTGATGATTCTTTAAAATTATTCTGTATTAGAGGAACGGTTGCCATAGGTATAACCAAAGATTCTACACAAACTTTCCAAGATGACAAGCAAGAAGCCAACCCCGTTTGACACAGCTGCTATTCTCACTGACTCCCTTGATTGTCGAATTACAATCAAGGATGGGAACAAATGTGGATCACTGACAATCAATGGTAAGGAACCATACATAAAATTCACTGATGAGACAAATATCATGAATGTTGTGAAAAAAGGACAAGAGGACTCTCTGAAATTTTCTTCTGACAGTGACATTTGTAAATCCATCCGTTGTATCGAGAAGAAGATAGAATCCGAAGGAAATGCGGTTAGAAGCAGGATTAACACAGCAAAATGTGACCACCCAATCCTATTTCTCCAGATTTCTCCTGATTGTACTATCTTTGATGAGGATAACAAACCATCAAAAACCAACAAGATCAAGCAAGGTGACACCGTCAATGGTATCGTTCACCTGAAGTGGGTTTACAAAGACAAGACCGATGACACTCTCAGTCTCAAACTTGTTGTTGTTGCTATAAAGCATTTCCAGAAAGAAGAAGTGAAATTCTCAGCAAACGATTTGTAAAAATAGTCAAACAATCCACAAAAACAAAAAGCAAAAAAATATTTGTTTTAGAAGTGAAATCATGGATGCCTGGTTTGATGACGACTACTCCACAAACAAGGAAGAAGAAGAAGTGATGGATACATGGATAGATGATGAACACTCTACCAGGAAAGATAAGATGATAGCGGACTACATTGACTATAGAAACCAGGAATGTTTTCCTACAGATATAGAATTGATGATTTTGGAAAATGAAGTAACTCCAGAGGATCTTGTGGTGTATGAGATGAAGAAAAATGATCTGTATGATACCACATCTTTCTTCGAAGAAATAGAAAAATCCAAAACCAGAACAGGAATCGAAAAAAGGTTGGAGATAACCCTGAACAAGGTTGGTTTACCAAAATATCTTAGCAAAACCCCATTCAACAATCTTGTTGATGAAATTCAGCGGATCAAGGTAGTAGCAAATAAAGAGAAAAAAGTCAAAGTGAGTTATCCATTCCTACTTTCGAAACTCATTGATGATGAAGATGATGTGATCAAGATCAAACCATTCATTCCAAAGTGTAAAAAGTCACAACAAAGACTTGATGCCATATGGGAGAGTTATAGAAAATCGAATGTGTAAGAAAAAGTAATAAAATGTCTTTCTTTTTCCTTTTTTTCCTTTTTTTCTTTCTCATGATCACTGGACAAACTGCTTCATCATATCCGGAGCATAACGCATGAATGAAATGCTGCTATCAACCCCCTCCTCAGCCAGATATCTTGGTATTTCATGGTGTCCGAACGCTAACGTGCTACATCCATCTTCTGTGATGTATCGTTTTGTGTCCAATGGTGATAAGGCTATCTTATTAACCGTTTCTCCGAAAATAACGTGTCTATGACTCCGGAGTGTTGTCATTTCTCGATGGAACACGGATTGATTCAAGAGACAATTTCGGAAATCATCATGTGTGATAGTTTTCTTGATCACTGCTGTTTTCACCCCCTTTGCTCTTTTTCCACTTTCCTCACCAGAGTAACTGTACATCTTGGAGCGAAGTCCTACAAACTCAGTGATCAGTTTTCCACCGAGTTCATCTTTGAACAGGCCAACAACTTTCTTGTTTTCTCGGAATATAACGGATGTGATTGATCATAATTGCTTGTATCATACTTCTCAAGAAACTCACTCATGTCACCAAACAGATCATCAGTAAAGAAATGAAGAACCAAGCTGTCTGTATCGGTGTACAAGAGTCTCACATCAGAGCCATACATCACTTTCAGGTGATTGTATTAAAAGTCATACATGAGTGTCTTTGAGAGATCCAAAATCGACATCCCAACATATATGGGCTTGTTGAGGACGACCTTTGTTCTGTTGCTTTGTACTCCGACCAGGTCATTATTGAAGATCACATGGCGGTTGTACGTTGGTTTAGCAACAAGCTGTTTGATTTTTTTCTCCTCACGACTTCTCAACAATTTTATGTTGACTCTCCTCCGAACGTTCTCCATAGTTTTCCCAAACACCGCATTGTTCATCAGTTTATAGAAGTCCTTAGGGAAATCATCCTTTGCCTTCTTCCGGAGGTCTGTATTCTTCTCGATGTAGTTTCTCATCCACGGTGTCTGAGTAAATTTCAGAGCACGATGAATTTTGACACAACGTAGTCCGAGCTGAGTGTAGAGTTTCAAGTTTCGGTAATGGAGAACGTACTTTGTCTTGTCCCTCAAGTTTGATACAAGTTTGAGAGCATCTACTCCGGAAGAATTGAGTATATCAACAAGCTCCTGCTGGTATGGAGATAGCATGTCCTCATTGACGGAAAGACGTTCCGGAGCAACTGGATAATCGTTGTGCTCCTCATGAAGTTCGTGTGGATATTCCAGATCACAAGAAACAAGTGGTAGCAGAAAACGTTTTCATGTATCATATCGAGATGTGTTAGGAGAAAAAGCGGTAATCCGATACATCACAGAAAATGGTGTAACAACGGCATATCTGACCTTCATCAACAACACATTGACATTACCAACTGTGAGTGGATACAATCTCATTGATGAATGGGAGCTGGTTTATCATGAGTACTGAAAATCTTAACTATATGTAGATAAAAAAATGGAAATACATCATTTCTTAATACTGTTGACCATGCTACCATTTACTCTTGGTTGTATTCGTGATCCGTTGGATAAGGATGGACTCTGCTTGACAACGAAACCTCCTACTGTCATCCAAAGTGAAAGACCAACTCCGGTTGACATCCCTAGTGAAACATCACCACCAACAGATCATATCACTACACAACCACCTTACGTTCAGACGAAACCAGGAAACGGGGATAACCCTCATTTGACAGACCCCAATCTTTGTCTTTTATCTCTGATTGTTATTCCTATAGTTGGTGCTGTTGTATATGTCATAACATGTTCCAGCTGTTCGATGAGTGTTGACCCTGAAAATGATCCAAGAAATTTACAACATCAGCCTAGGTTAGATTATTATTATTATTATTTATTGCAACATCTCAAGACTCGGCGGAAACACCGGCCAATATTACGAAAGTGGGTGATTGCCAACCACGGCGATAAATAGAAATAAGGGGAGGGAAAAAGAAAGAGTAGCAAAACGAACAGCAACAACAACTCCGTAAAGAAAGATAATGTCAAATAAAAACAGTGAAAAACACAGAGACGCAAAGGACATGTGGATAATGAGCTATGCATGTCGTAGTAAATAAGGGGCGGCACGGATCTTAAACAGGCGGAGTGAGGTCAGGTCCTTAACTTCTCTGGGTAGAGTGAGCCAAACAGAATAAGCAATAAAGAGAGGGGAGCGCAAAAGAGTGGATGAGTTACACTTAGGGAGTAAGAGCGAGTTTCTAGTTCTTAGAGAAGAGAACCAATTAAAACACATGAGATGAGGTGGGCACAACTCAAGCTTAATAGAATGGACAAGAGAAGCCAGGTGTGCACTGCGTCCATGTGATAACGGGGTTGTGTAAGCGATTTTATAAAGGGCGAATGATGAGAGCATGCGGGGTTGATGGAAGAGAATTTTAAGGATTTTCTTGTGATGTATTTCAAGCTTTGCAGCAGCGGAAGAGGATAACCCAACCCAAGACGTATCTGCATAATGAAATATTGGGCGAAGGTAGGCTAAATAAAAAAGAAGCTTGCAAGAAAGTGGGAGGTAGGAGCAGTGGGGGGAGAGAATTCCTAAGGATTTACTTGATGTTTTACAGATATATTCGATGTGAGGTACCCAAGAGAGTGCAGAGTCAATCACAATGCCAAGGTGTTTGTGAGAAGACACTATGTCAATTGGATTTGGAAAGTTGGCATGGATGAGGGTTGTGAACTCCGGCTGGGGCGGGAAGAGCATGATCTTTGTTTTTGATAGATTTGGGGACAACCTCCAGGACGACATCCAGGAAAGAACTTCCTGAATGCCAGCACGCAAGTTGTTTTTCAGGCCAGTGAGGGAAGCAGATGAGGTGAGAAGGGTCGTGTCGTCAGCAAACAGAGACGTTCCAGGGAAGACTGCAGGTAAGTCGTTTACGTAAATTATAAATAGTAGGGGACCAAGAATTGATCCTTGAGGAACGCCCGACAATACTGGCTCTGCAGCCGAGGATGTGCCAAGCACAGTTACGTACTGATAACGCCCAGAGAGATAAGATTTCAGCCAGGAGAGTGGTTGTTTGCGTACCCTGAATGCATGCTCGAGCTTTGCCAAAAGTCCTCGATGCCAGACGGTATCAAAAGCCTTGGCCAAGTCAAAGAAGCAAATGCCAGCAAGGGCTCTGTTATCCCTATGCTGGCACACCTGCTGCACGATGCGGGTCAGTTGAAGAGAGGTGGAGTCGCCTTTACGAAACCCAGATTGTGCGGGACTCAGAAACGGCGAAACATGTCTGTATAAGTGGTCATAAAAGATGCGTTCACATACTTTGGACACGCAGGGAAGAAGAGAGATGGGGCGGTAGTTTGCAGGTTCGTGGCGGGAACCTTTCTTGAATACAGGTATGACTTTCGCTGTTT